TAATGAAACAAGTAAATCTTGAGTGAGTCATTGAATCATTCATTCAAGAGATTCATTCAAAAACACTGAATCATCCAGTAATGAATCAAGTAAATCTTGAGAGAGTCATTGAATCATTCATTCAAGAGATTAATTCAAAAACACTGAATCATCCAGTAATGAATCAAGTAAATCTTGAGAGAGTCATTGAATCATTCATTCAAGAGATTAATTAAAAAACACTGTATCATCCAGTAATGAAACAAGTGAATCTTGAGTGAGTCATTGAATCATTCATTCAGAAATTCCATCAGATTTTGTTAAGTTGTCTAATATTTTTTCTTCAGAATTGTGAGAGAACTACAGCCTCCATTAAAAAAAAGTCTCAATTTATCCAGAATCGTGCGGCTCTATTTTTGCACACAAACAGCTCTTAATCGAGTCCAGTTTTTATGCAGCCGGCTGATTTTTGTTCTTGGTATTCAGCAGCAATTAAATGTTTTGCAAAAAGAAACACAGAATAAATATGCTTGATATCTAAATGATTGACTTTAACCACATTGGAATCCGAACTCGGAATTGATCAAATTAAATCAATACCCAACCCGGGACGTTTGTCTAGAATCTTCTGTTCAATATTCTGATGTTTGCATGCTGCTCAAACCAATCCTGCTCTCTTAATGATGGATAAAGTATTCTGTAATGTAGTTTGTTGATCAATATTACAATAATATATCTGCTGCTGTAGGAAACACATATTTCGGTCACCCAAAAATTAAAATTCTGTCTTTATTTACAGTTGTTCCAAACCTGTATGAGTTTTTTTTTTCCTGATGAACTCAAAATAAGATATTTTGAAGAAAGTTGGGAACCAAACAGTTGCCGGTAGCCATTGACTTTCATAATATTTTTTCCCCTACTATGGAAGTCGATGGGTGCCAGCATCTGTTTGGTTACCAACATTCTTCAAAATATCTTCTTCTTTTATGGTACACTAAATAAAGAAACTCGTACAGGTTTGGAACAACTTGAGGGCGAGTAAATGATGATAAAATTGTGAATTTTGGGTGAACTGTCCCTTTAAGGCAAGACAGCACAGGTGAATAGAGTAAAAAATAACTAATAGTTATCGCCTTAATTACCCAGTTGACTGATTACATTGATAATTGCAAACATTTGTGTATTACAAGTTTATTTTTAAATATGCAAATGAGGCATTATTTAATTAAATCTAATAAATCTAAACACTGGATGAAGTCAGTTTCAAAATTCTTGTTTAATTTTTTTTGACATGTTAGAGTCGAATTTTGGGTATCTCATTTTTGTCACCCCATAAATACTTAGAACAGACAGAAAACAATATATTTTCACAATTTTGGGGGGAATAAAATGTATATAATCAAGCAAATTACACATGAACAAGTCCCTCAGTAAAAACCTTCAGGATACAGACAGGAATAAAAATGTAAAGTTTGGTGTGAAGTGGAGATTTATGGCTCAGTGTAGAAGAAAAAGACGGCCTTTAAAAATATGTATTACAATCTATTGACACAATTAGATAAAGTGCTTTCCACTAGTCTAAAAAAAACACAAAGCCCAAAATCTCAAACTTGACAGGTGCATGAAAAAACTGCATAAAGTGTAGCATAAATGCATAAATAGTATAAAAGAACAAAATGTATAGATATTTTTGAAGCAAATGAACCAAAAAAAGTTAGTTTTTATTATTAATTGTAATAATACTGTTTGACATTTTCAGTTAACCTGATGAAAGAGGAGCAGAACCAGACCGTGCCGCATCAGTCCGCTCCGCAGGTGTGGCACGTGATGTACGTGGATCAGTACACCTGTCAGGACGGAGAGATGGATGCAGCGCTAGAAGACCTGCGCTTCCAGATCACCATGATGAACCCAGACGCTGCGGGGAACCCACTGGATCACTTCAGCGCCGAGGAGGCCGGTGAGACGCACAAACACACTCCGTGTGTGACCCTGGTGCACAAAACCAGTCATAAGAGTCAATTTTGTGAAATTGAGATTTATACATCATCTGGAAGCTGAATAAATAATCTTTCCATTGATGTATGGTTTCTTAGGATAGGACAATAGTTGGCCAAGATACAACTATTTGAAAATCTGGAATCTGAAGGTGCAAAAAAATCTAAATATTGATTTTATTATTTATTCAGCTTTCAGATGATGCATAAATCTCAATTTCACAAAATTGACTCTTATGACTGGTTTTGTGTTCCGGGGTCACATTTAATGCTGTAAAGCTGCTTTGGCACAGTCTGTATTGTTAAAAGCGCTTTATAAATAGAGGTGAGTTGCCTTGAACGAATATGTTCCTCGCAGGGCTCCACAGCTTCTACTTCATCCTGATCCTGGCGTATTTCGTGGCGTCGTGTATCTACATACAGCCGCTGTGGCAGGCGCTGAGCAAAGCCGGATCCATGCACACGGTGCTGAAGGTGTTATCCACCGCGCTTCTGCTGCAGGGAACTTCAGTGCTGCTCAACTACATCCACACGGCCCGGTCAGACACTTGCAGCTTACCTATACTTTATCTGCTTAATGTTTATTGCTATCCTCAAGGCCCACTTATAACAATAAACACAGATCATTGCATGCAATTATTTCTTCTGGACTCAAAACCCCTTTTTTCTATATGTTCTTTAAATTTGGAGGAGCATTTTTGAGTGTCTTTACCACCACGGGCAGACTCTGGTGAACAACACAAACTAATTATACAATTATGTGGCCACGGTTTGTGTTGCTTGTCAAGCCAGCCCAAAGTAGTCTTCCACCCTCTTGCTCCTTAGACTTTATTATCAGAGATAATGTGACCCTGGAGCACAAAACCAGTCATAAGGGTCAATTTTGTGAAATTGAGATTTATGCATCATCTGAAAGCTGAATAAATAAGCTTTCCATTGATGTATGGTTTGTTAGGATAGGACAATATTTGAAAATCTGGAATCTGAGGGTGCATGATGATGATGATGATGATGTGATTGCACCGCAGGTACGCTCGAGACGGTGTGGGGACGCCGCTGATGGGGAGCCTCGCTGAATGTGAGTCTGTCACAGCGTTAGTATCATGATCAGCTCTGGATAAAACATAAAGCATCTGCCAAATGCATCAAATGCATGAATGACAACAAAATCTGAAGAAATGATGAACATGAAGACAGATTCCCAGAGAATGCATGAGGATCAAAGACGAAAAGGGCTTTTCAAGCATCAAAACAATAAAAGTGTGATTTAAAAAAATAGCTTTAATTTTTTTCTGTACATTAGAATGTGTCCTTGTGTCCAGCAAAAATAATGACTATCATCCATTTTTACCATGATTTACAAAAAACACCCATTAAAATGTCATTCAGTGTAATAATAATTCATGTAACAAAAAATATTGTCAGTATTATCATTAGATGTCATTAAAAGACTCTATTCGTGTCCCTGGAGCACAAAAGCAGTGTTAAGTCGCTGGGGTATATTTGTAGCAATAGCCAACAAATATTATCATTAGATGTCATTAAAAGACTCTATTCGTGTCCCTGCAGCACAAAAGCAGTGTTAAGTCGCTGGGGTATATTTGTAGCAATATCCAACAATACATTG